TTGTAGATCTAAGTTCCTTATCTGACATGTCATTACCAAACACTTTTTCCCAGTCTGTGGCTTCCCTTTTTACCCTGTTGGAGAAGTTTCTGGATGCGCATAGGGATTTGATTCTTAGAAGGTCCCATTCATCTATTTTATCTTCTCCTGGTTGTAAATTTTTCAGAATACTTGGAAGACTTTATGTTGTGGATTAGGACTACTAAAGTTCTTCCAAGCTTTTCTTTAATGAAGTTTATACTCCTTGGTTTTAGTCCTAGGTCCATGATCCACCTTCAGTTGGTTTTTGTATTTGGAGTGAGGTGGGGATCTTATTTAATTCTCCTGCACATAGTTTTCCAATTTTGCCAACACCATTTGTTAAAAAGGCTGTCATTTCCCCACCTAACTGCATCCAGGAGCAATTATTTAGAAAATGACTACATAAATTGGGAGAGAATGGAGAGCATTATGCTGAGTGAATTACCTCAGTCTCATAAGGACAAATATTGTATAAGACCATTACTATAAAAATCAGAAGGATGACTAGTAAAACATGTATGGGGATGCCAGGGGGGATGAGGTAGGAGCAGAAGGGTGAGGATGGGCAGAGGGGAAATTACAGGGTTGCACAATTTGGTAGGTGGAGGGAATGGAGGGGTAAAAGAAATGGGAAAGGTCTGGTGGGGACCTGAAAATATGGGGTAACGGTGGGCATAATTCAATGAGGATCAAGTTTATGAAGAACAATGAATGGGAATGATTGTATGAAACACAATGTGAATGAAAGCTCGTGTGGAACACAATGTATACAAATTCTGTATGCAAACCAACAAACTTTTTGAAAAAAAAAGAAAAAAAATGACAGCCACCAGATGATGAACACCAATGAGGTATTTTTCCATTGGGAATACAATACTAAAAATAGGAGAGGATATGCACACCTAAGCATTTTGAAATAAGGCATAATAAAAAATTCCCCTTGAACATTGAAAAAAAAAAAAGATATTCAAAGAACTCTGCCAATGATGTTAAAAGATATAAAGCCGAGGAGCGAAAACGGCGGAGTGAGGTGCAGCCTGCTGAACCGGCCTTGGGGCCGGAGGGGTCGGGCCGGCCCTGGGATGTCAGTTGTGTTTAATGGATTATGTACCTTCCTTAACACAAAAAGAACATTTTCCTTGACATTTAGGTGCTTTTGTATTTTCTTCATCCGAGAAAGAAAACAAAATTCTGAACTCAGGACTTGACAAGCATTTTTGTGTTGTCTCCTGTATCAGGTACTCCTGCTGCTTTTATCCGGCCACATTACCTTGTCTTCAAATTTGGATATTACTTCTCTACAGTTTACCTTCAGGATTTTGAATGGAAAAGGCTGCTTTTCTTTTTAATTCCACCTCTTAAATTCAACATGGTGAAGTCCTTAAATCCAATCATTCTGCCAATTTCTCCAAAGAAAGAACCAGTTGTCATGGGTCTTCTGCTGCTTTCTTAATTGTAAAGAAATTAATTTAAAAACAGCAGTCTGATCTTAATTGGAAACACACACTTTGATGATATTATTTCGGAATTCTTTACCTTTTGTTCCAAAAAGAAGACAATAGCAAGAATGGATGACTTCAAGGCTTGTTTAAATGTCTTCCATTTTCAGCCACCATCATGAAAAGCAGAGTTCACAAAGCAGCAGGAAATTCCAAATATGTGATCCAACTTGAACTGACAGAGATGGTTAAAAGTTACATTGATTTGTGTATCTAAATCCTGGATCAGCTCTCACAATTTTCTTAATAAACAAAGATCTGGTTTTGAAGTTAAACTTTTGATGTCATAAAAAGCATGAAGACAAAATGCCTCGAGGTTAGTATACAAGGAAAAAAACTATTATATTCTCAGTATAAAAAGAGAATTTTTTAAAAAATTTTTAATTTTTTTGATGAGAAGAGGTATATTTCCCCTAGAGAAAGCATCTTTGTTCACTTTCTTCCTCAGAAGTCTTTGGACACTGGTATTTTAGAACATTTTTTGCTTAAATGAGGACTAGACTGTGGAAGTTGACTTAATGTACACATACTGAGGCTTAGTGAAGGAGAGGTAAAAGAAAGCAGTCTTGATTCAGTCCAGTGATGGAAACCTTTTGGAAAGCTGTGGAATAAATAATTTCATTTTTCAAAAAAAAGATGTAAAGCCAATATAAAAATGCAATGCAATTTAGGAAGCAAATAATCTGCTAATCTTACAATTCTATCTTTAAAATGAAAAGCATGATTCTTTTGACAAAATAAAAATATGATTTAAACACATATAGAAATACATCAAATGGAATAAAAATGAATAGATGAAAATGAGACAGATAACTTATTTTAAAAATATGAAATTGACAATTTCTTGACATGTTTAATAGCGGTACATTTAAGTGACAATTATGCTATCAGGGAGATAGTGCTGAAAGTTAAAGCTATAACGAATTTTTTTTTCTATAATTATATTTTATTAATTTTCATAAACATTTACAGAGATTTTGGG